CAAAAAAGCGACTAGCGACAAATCTGCCGACTTTTTACGGTGTCACTGGCAGCTTTTGGAGACTCCTACGTGAAAGCATGTATGGTTCCTACTCTTGTCCTCCAGCGGCAGCTGCTGCCGTGGGGCGCCTACCCCATCCCAACCCCGTTCTCCCGCAGGAGTCCCTCTCAGCGCTGCAGTCAGAGCTGCAGGATGTTTACCCTCAGCGTCCAGACTGCAAATGAAGCGCGCATGCGCCGGGATGGACAGCACAAATTGATCACACGGTGCCGCTCCGCCCTGACTTACATTTAAGGCGGGAGCTAGCGGGATGTAAATGTAAAATGTTATTTGGTCTAAATATATATTGTTTAGTAAAGTGAGAAAAAACACTATTATATAGTGTTTTTACTCACCTTTTGTCTTTCTGTAACGACATTATTTCTCCCATAGAAACAATAACATGCACATCACTTCCTGTGGCAGATTATGCAAATTAGGCGATGACGTCATTTAGCGACTTCTAGCGACTTTTAGCACAGCCAAAAGCTACTTTCCTTACTGAGGAGTTGGCAACAGTGTGAACAGCAGGGGGCTCAGGACGCAGCCCTGAGGGGAGCCTTAAAGTCAGAGGAAAACGTCTGTTCACGAGTGAATTAAGTGATTTTATTGGTTGTTTATCAAGAGGGCGGGATTGTTGTGGCGGAAGGTTTGCAAGCAAGTTTGGTTGTGGCCGGTGTCTCAGAAGCATCTTGCTAACCAGTTAGCAACTTAGTGCTAGTAGGTTCACAATGGGAAATTCCATTGGGACCAAGTAGCACTAAATTGGTGACTTAGAAACGACGCTGTCAAGGAACGCTATGGACAGAGGAAACATGCAAGAGGAGGAGAGTTTAGTGTCGGAGGTCGTGGATGAGTCTCCTTCATCGTACATTTTTTATTTAGAGGAGGAAAGCGGGGACGAAGATGTTGTGGAAGAGGATGCCAGGGCGGCAGAAGCTTGGTTTGGTGTAGAAGGCTTCCAGCCGTACATGTTTGAGTCCTTGCCTCGCAACGCTGGCAGTTCTGTTAGCTCTACGCCTGCCGAAGACACAGACGTCCATCCCCGTGAACACTGGGACGCAACTCAATGGGAAAGGAAATGATTCTGATTTCAACCGTTGTGTATATTAGCTGCGACATATGAATAAAGAAAAAATTTGATTGACAGATGACCGTTGATATATGATTGGCTGAATTTAGGTGTTCAGGCTGACATATAGCTAACTGGCCTGCAGAAGATAATGAAAAAAAAAACAGATTTTAAGACAAGATTTTTTTTCAAAATATAAATTTTCTAACGTTTGGGACGATATAGTCTGATAAAGAGTACATTTATATACATTTTTAAGCCTGAAGGATTTCACATTTAAACATGATTTCCCTTCGACTTTAAGGTTTGCAGTGAAAATGAAGCCTCAGGTCTCAGAGCTGCAAGTGGCTCCTTAGCTCACTTAATATTTCAAAAGATGAACTGGTTTTTCTTTTAGTTTCTGTTCTGTGCCTTAAAAAAAAAAAGAAAATATCTAAATTAAATATCCTTTTCTTTCTATTTCCCATTGATGAACTATTCTGTGTTGATCTATTGCTTCAAATCCCGATCTTTGGAATAATAATGTGAAAACTCTTGGTAGAGGCTGAATATATTTAACTTCTGAAGGTCAAACTTTGCATCACTTCTCCATTTAGATCTTTAAAGCAAACATGAACAGATATGAAACCCTGTCTCTAATTTTATCCACTTGTTTGCTTTTCCTAGAATAACATTGATTTAGATTCCAGGCTGTGCAGCAGAGGCGCTAAAAGGTTAGCATGGCCCATACGTCGTCCTTTTCCAGGGAAGTGGTGATGGAGCTGCTGCTGGTTTGTTCCTCAGGGATTCTGCTGATATTGGAGCTGAACCATTAAACCAACACCTGTTCTCACAGTTTTCTTCCCTCGGCTCCCACCTTCAGCTGCCGCTTACGTTCACACGGAGCCTGGGAGAAATAAAAAGACTCAGGCCTGTGACAGCAGCACACGAGCAGCCGGGCGGGCGGGTGTCTGGGCGCTGAGCTGAACAGTCTGCTGACGACGGCGAGCAGAGAGAAGCCCTGCTTGCGGGAACGTGTGAAGAGCCTGTATGAAGACAGATGATGGGAAAATGTGTGTGTGGGCGAAGCCAGAGAGACTGTTGCCATGGCGATGTGCCACCTCCTTCTCCTTCCACCTGTTACAAATAACACCCTAAGATGGAGACCGTCCGCGTGGCGTCAGAAGCTCTGCGGCCTTCTCTCTCTGTGTCATCTGGCGCCACTGATTCACACGTTTTATAAAAGTTAATGGAACAGTTTAGATGTTAGGGTATTTATTTTCTCCATCACCATTGGGGTATGGCTCACTGGTCCCAGATTTACGCTGCTGCAGATGAGTAAGATGAAATAAAGGCAGAATCAGGCGGGACTTTGTTTAGAAATGACACCGATAACCAGCCTGGAGGAAAATCTGACAGAAGGCTCCTAAAATAAAAAAAGATATTAGATGAATAAAGTTTAAATGGCTTGAATAATCATAACAGTAGGATGTCAACCCAAAATGAGTCAGAAAAAGCTGCGTAAAAGGTCCAAATTAAACATCAAATCAGGATCCAAGACTAAAACAAACTATAGAAGCTAAATAACTAGGAAAAAAAAGAACATTCATTAAAAATAATAACAAATAAAAAAAATTGTAAAGCTTACAAAATAAAACAACTCATAGTTTAAACAAAAGCAAGTATTAGTCATTTCCATAAAATATGACTCCTTTAACTTTTCACCATTCCAATTCCTCTTCCTTCACCTTTCTGGGGGTCAACAATAAAACCTCTATCCAGAGCTGCTGAGCTGATTCCAGGCAGCCTTCAGCCTAAAGGACGTCGTATGTTTGTCAGAGTGGAAGTACAGATCTCTGGAAATCAGAATCAGACATACTTTAATACTCCCAAAGGGAAATTACAGTACAAAGAACAAAAAGTTACAGAAATATATTAAATGGCTGAAGCTCTTTGTTATAAAACCACAAACTCATAAAGCTGAGGCCATTAGCATGCGTCACATGGAGACCAGAGATGGCAAAAGTACTCACTTTCCGTACTTGAGTAAAAGTACAGATACTTGTGTTAAAAAATACTCTGGTAAAAGTGGAAGTACTGATTAAACTTCTTTACTCAAGTAAAAGTAACAAAGTACAGGCTTGTAAATTTACTTAAAGTATAAAAGTAAAAGTAGAAACCGCTTTTTTCTTGCCGTTGCCTACATTTTAAATGGATGTCTGCCAATAGGACTAGATCTCCGTTGTGTTCATTTTCAATCATCTCGTCGTCCATGCTACTATGCTAACGCCACCGCCACCAAGCTGCAATGATTTGCCGCCAATGAATACCGCCGAATCTGTCGATTCATCTTGTAGTGGTGCGTCAAATGCAACGTAGATTCCATCCAATTAGATTGAATTTGGTATTGATGACGTGAAAAATAATAACGGTAACTCCATTGAAATGATTCAAAACTAAAGTAACGAGCCAATTTAAAAAAATGTAAGGAGTAGAAAGTACAGATATTTGTGTAAAAATTTAAAGGAGTAGAAGTAAAAAGTCGCCATAAAAATAAGTAGTAAAGTAAAGTAAAAATATCAGAAAAGTCTACTTGAGTACAGTAACGAAGTATTTGTACTTCGTTACTTCCCATCTCTGAGGGAGACCAGCGAAAAACTCAGGGGAATAAAACTATTAATGTTTATTACTCTAGTAGAACTATAAATCCTACTGTTTAAAAACACTTAATAGAAGTCAGAGTATCAACTTCAGCTTTTTACTTGAGTAAAAGTGTAAAAGTACAATGTTTAAAACTGCTTAAAGTATAAAAGTAATGCAGGAAAAAAAATTTAAGAAAAGATTTTGGGTGATAACTTCCTTATACTTAATTTTCAACTGTGGGAAATGTAACTTTACATCATCTTGAAAAAGGTATTTATTTTTGTAAATGGCGAACAACAAGTAGGGGCAGCACCGAGTCCAACCATAAAGGCAAGGCAAGGCAAGGCAAATTTATTTGTATAGCACAATTCAGTACAAAGACAATGCAAAGTGCTTTACATGATTAAAATACAGGAAGATAAAACAGAATCAAAGCAAGTAGGAAAAAATAAATAAATAAAATAAAAAACTGCAGAAACAGAAAAGAATATTAAAAACAGTTGGACTAAAAAATATATGTTTTAGTTGAACTGTTTAGCTAGAACAGTCGAAGGCAATCCTAAACAAGTGTGTTTTTAGTCTTGATTTAAAGGAACTCAGGCTTTCCGCACTTTTACAGTTTTCTGGAAGTTTGTTCCAGATAAGTGGAGCTTCCAGACAATAAAGAAATGTATTGTCTGGAAGAAATAAATTGATGGTATTTTGAAGTATAGGCAGCTAAAATTGAACTTCACTCTGAAGCAAATTGTTCTAAATCAGCTCATAAATGGCTGAATATTAAATCCATCACAGCCTAAAGACAAGTCAGAGGAGATTCCGATTTCCACTTTCAATCTGTATGTTTTTTTAATTGAGAAAACTTCCTTGGAAAACAGAGTCCAGTTGTTAGTTTTTTAACTTTAATTTTATGGCTCCTGATTAAACGGGTAAATTTCCCCAAACTGATTCCAGAACCAGTCAAGTCAGACTGGGTTTGGTAGAAGATTCTTCTATGTTCCACCTTAAAAACAATCAAAATGTCTATCAGACAGTCCTTCTGCCTAATACCATCAGAGAGGACAGACCTGAGCAGAACAGCCTGCTGTTCTCCTTTAAGGTTTCCATGGTAACCCATGGCATTCAACCTGATAAGACCAAGGCCGCCTGATGAAGACAAACACGCTCAGACGCACTCATGGTCACAAATCTGTAATAACAACACACAGACGTGACCTCTGACCTCTCCAAGGTTCCTCCCAGACTAAGTCTCATTAAAGTCAGGGTTCCTCCTCCTCCCCTCATTCTCCTCTGCCTCGCTGCAGCCATGTTCAGCGCTCTGCTCTCCTCCATCAGCGCCTCCTTCTCTCCACCCGTCCTCCTCTCGGTCCTAGTTCTAGTGATCGTCTTGGCTCTGGCGTCCCGTCGGTTCCATCTTAACGCCAAACCTGTGAGCGGCGGCGCGGCGGCTCGGGGCTCCATCCCCTGCCTGCCTCACCTCCTGGTCCTGGGAAGCCTCCCCTGGCTGGGGGGAGGCCTTCCTCCCCACCTCCTCTTCACCCAGCTGGCCTACAGGTGAGACCAGGGAGGCTGAGAGGGTCCAGATTCTCATTGTAGACCTTCTATAACAGAGGGTGAACTTGGTGGGACTAGTTAACATGACTAAGCTTCTGAAAGGACTAGTAGACAATAGTTATCTCTTGAAATGACTAGTAGAGAAAACTAATCATCTGCAATGACTATTTTCTGTGGGAAAGGTCCCTGATTGCTGGGAAGTTTGGGTTTGGATGAAATATTTAATCTTTCAAAGGACTAGTTGCTATGTTTGTTACATTTATTGAAAGTTAAACTAAATCATGTAGAGAGAAGTTAACTCAACACTATTTCTGACATTTTGAATTGAAAAAGCTTCCTGGATGGGAAGCCAAACGTCTTCAAACTTGGAAACAAAGTCTAGTTGATTGTTTTTAACTTTTTTGGAGCAACTATGACCTGGATGAACGAGAGGCTTCACCAGCAGACAAGTTAATCTTTATTATAACTAGTCTATGGTCGCATGCAAAAAGAACTGAAATGTGTTCAACAATCATTGGTTAGAACCCTTAAACTAGTTCTTGTTGACTCCAGTGTTATTAACCTCCTGTTTAGGTTTGCATGGGTTAGTTAATATGTAGAAGAACTGGTCAATATCAGCAGGGTATTAACACGTGAATAAATGTTTATAGAGCTGAATAATATTAATAAATCCTGTTGTGTTTTATGGGGGATTTTGTGAAAAAGTAGTTAAAAATGTTAGAGTAGTTAATTGGAAACCAGCGGATTGATATATACATTGCAAAAAATAGAAATCTAAATAAGTCATTATTTGTTAAACTAAGTACATTTGTTCTTTAATTAAGGAGGTAAGTGAGACACTTTGCCAATGGAAGAAGACAGTTAAGAGTTAAAATCAGAAAAAGCAACTGCATTATTATCTAATTATCTTATTTTAAGTGTTAAAATACTCATTACATTGGCAAATCATCCCATTTAGCTACTAAAATTAAGGGTAGATACTCTTGATTTAAGAAATTTTTACTTATTTCCAGATCATTTTTGCAGTGTACACTGGAAAAACCATATAGAAATTTATCCTTAATTTGAGTAAGTAAATTAGATTTTTTACTCTTAAAATAAGATAATTAGATAAAATGCACTTGAAATAAGACAATGCAATTGCATTTCTTATTTTAAGTGTAAATTGTCTTGTTTCATTGGCAAAATGTCTCTTATCTCCTCAAACCAAGAACAAATGAACTTATTTTAAGCAAAAAAATGTCTTGTCTAGATTTCAATTTTTTTCCAGTGTAAAAAAAAAAAGGAAATTTTTGAAGATCTAATTTACTTTTCATTAAATGTAAACACTATAACGTCATCAATAAGGTGGACTTGGAGAGACTAGTTATGTTTAGGGGGACTAGTTTAAAGCCCATTGATGCCTATTGATGCAAATATGCGACAAACTGTTTCATTGTCCCTAAAAACTGTTGTCACAGATTTGCAATATACTCACTTTTCTATTTCTTTTTTTTGTGTCAGTAGAGCAATCTCAGTTTGGCAACTACTTGAAGGCAAAAATATGTAAGAAATTCAGGTTTGAAGTGGTTAACATGGGGTTGGACATTTTTTTATATAGATTATTGCTCTTAATAAGAGAAATACACTGGAATAAATCAAAATCTAAATAAGTCATTATTTATTAAAATAAGTGCATTTGTTCTTGAATTGAGAAAAGGGACATTTTGCCAATGGAACAAGACAATTTACATTTAAAATAAGAAAACACAACTGCATTGTCTTATTTTAAGTGCATTTTATCTAAATATCTTATTTTAAGAGTAAATATACTCATTGCATTGGCAAATCATCTCATTTACCTCCTCAAATTAAGAGTAAATACCCTTTTTTAAGCCAAAGTGATGCTGGAATAACTTCTCCATGGATTGGTTTACAGATGTTTACATTTAAAACAAATATTAATGTCCTGGACAGTAAAGTGATTCCTAGAGAAGCAACCTGTTGTGACCACGGTGGATTATCCTCTGTAACCGTCTGCTTGTCTCTGAGGTATGGACCCCTGTTTGCGCTCTACCTGGGCCCTCACTACACCTTGGTGGTGAACGACCACCAACACGCCAGAGAGGTGCTGCTTCAGAGGGGCAAGGACTTCGCCGGACGTCCCAACATGGTCAGACATGCCAAAACAGAACAGCCTCAATTATGTCAGAACCTCAAAAGCTTTCCAGCAGAACATCGAACAGAAACACTGAAATCAGATCAGACCAGAATCTCATTTTCAGGCTACTTTCATATGAAATATTTTAATTAGGAAAAGGAGGTGTTTGTGTTCTGTCAAGATATAATTCCTTAGTAGAAGAATGGGTCATTGGCTGATTTAGAATACCTCAAATTACAGCTCCTAGCTCCCGTTCTTAGGTCCTACTCCAGGGTAAACCAAATAACAACTCCCAATTTAGGCAAGACAAAACTAAGACATGTCGATAAAGGTCTAAATATGGCATAACCAACTCCATATTTAAAAATCTAACACCCCTACTGCATGTTCTAGCTCCTCTTCCTTCACCTTTCTTGGGGTACAGAGTAAGATCTCTATCCAGGTTAGGAGAGGATCTCCATGATTGCTGTGCTGAATTCAGACACTCTTTAGATTTAAGGACGTCATTGAATGGCACTGATCAAATTGGGCTTATTTGGGCAATTTGGAAAGAAATCCATCAAAAAAAGTTACACACATAGGCTATAGAGAATGAAACCCATGGCTATAAAATGCAAAACATTGAGGACACTAGCATGTGTTACACGAAGTGTAAGTGAAGAAATGATTTTAGTTAAACACTGTGAGGTGGACGGTGTCTAAATGTCCTGTTCTTTAGCTCCTAGTTGCGGCTAAAGACGTCAGGGGCTCCCTATGCTAACTGAACTGGTGATAGGAAGCATCCTGCTTCCTCTCCCTAGCTTCTTCCTGACTGCCAGCACTATTCAGACAGCACTTATCATGGTGACCGCTGACGTATTTGAATTTCGGCTGGTGAAGCTGTTCACTGTTCATTCCTTCAGGTTTCTTTATTATTTTATTTACAATGACATTTGCCTGCAGTGCCTCCTTGTGGCCAAATGGGGGATTTTCACGTTTATTTACTCAATAATTGCGGTTTGTAGCAGGTGAAAGGGTAAAAATATACATGCCGTTGTTCAGTTTTGTCATTTACAGTCCTCTTTCCAACTTCTTTATTTTACCAAGTTTTACTTTTACCCAGTTACACTGCAGAGGGGGAACTGGTTATTATTAAAGATAATTTTTTTTTAAATATCTGACTGAAAAAAATAAACAGAATATGAATCTATGTAAGAAAAATATACATGATGATGATAATTTACACTTTAAATCAATAGTGTGAGGTAAAGTTTGAATAAAGGATGGACAGTTGTGTCTGTTAAGCTAAATGTGATAAATATAAACTCTTGTTACATCAACCTGGCTGCCTTTTTTTCATCCAGTCTCTGACGTTATGTTTTTTTTTGTTCAGGTCACGACCAGCCTGCTGACCCGAGGAGGTAAAGACATCGCCTTTTCAGATTACTCTCCTCTGTGGAGGCTCCACCGCCGCCTCGTCCACAACTCCTTCACTCTGTTTGGGGAGGGAACCAGCCGGCTGCAGGACATCGGTACAACAAAAAGTCCACTTTCTCCTCTTTTAAATCAAGAAGAACAAGTTTTAGTCCAAATCGCAGAAACAATTTTCATTAAGCATATTTATCAACAACAGAAGGAGGACTTAAGGCTTCCTGTTATAGTCTGTTAGAACAAACCTCTTAAATAAAATCACTTATTTTAGAATAATGAATAATAACACTTATGAATAATGAATGAATACCAGGAAAGGAAAACTGAATAAGCTAACATTAGTTAATCCGTTTACAGAGTTTTGTAAATTTGTTTTATGCTGATGTTATGAGTTTTAGGGTTAAAAGTATACAGGTGCTGGTCATAAAATTAGAATATCATGAAAAAGTAGATTGATTTCAGTAATTCCATTTAAAAAGTGAAACTTGTATATTATATTCATACATTACATACAAACTCATATATTTCAGATGTTTATTTTGTTTAATTTTGATGATTACAAATGACAACAAATGAAAATCTCAAATTCATCATATCAGAAAATTAGAATATTACTGAAGACCAATAAAAACAAAGGGTTTATAGAAATGTTGGCCAACTGAAAAGTATGAACATGAAAAGTATGAGCATGTACAGCACTCAGTATTTAGTTGGGCCTCCTTTGGCCTGTATTACTGCAGCAATGCGGCGTGGCATGGAGTCGATCAGTCTGTGGCACTGCTCAGGTGTTATGATAGCCCAGGTTGCTCTAATAGTGGCTTTTAGCTCTTCTGAATTGTTGGGTCTGGTGTATTGCATCTTCTTCTTCACAATACCCCATAGATTTTCTATGGGGTTAAGGTCAGGAGAGTTTGCTGGCCAATTAAGAACAGGGATACCATGGTCCTTCAACCAGGTACTGGTAGCTTTGGCACTGTGTGCAGGTGCCAAGTCCTGTTGGAAAATGAAATCTGCATCTCCAAAAAGTTGGTCAGCTGCAGGAAGCATGAAGTGCTCTAAAACTTCCTGGTATGTGGCTGCGTTGACCCTGGACCTCAGAAAACACAATGGACCAACACCAGCAGATGACATGGCACCCCAAACCATCACTGACTGTGGAAACTTTACACTGGACTTCAAGCAACGTGGATGAAGTGCCTCTCTTCTTTTCCTCCAGACTCTGGGACCTTGATTTCCAAAGGAAATGCAAAATTTACTTTCATCAGAGAACATGACTTTGGACCACTCACCAGCAGTCCAGTCCTGTTTCTCTTTAGCCCAGGCAAGACGCTTCTGACGCTGTCTGTGGTTCAAGAGTGGCTTGACACAAGGAATGCGACAGCAGAAACCCATGTCTTTCATACGTCTGTGTGTGGTGGTTCTTGAAGCACTCACTCCAGCTGCAGTCCACTCTTTGTGAATCTCCCCCACATTTTTGAAGGGGTTTTGTTTCACAATCCTCTCCAGGGTGCGGTTATCTCTCTTGCTTGTACACTTTTTTCGACCACATCTTTTCCTTCCCTTCGCCTCTCTATTAATGTGCTTGGACACTGAGCTCTGTGAACAGCCAGCCTCTTTAGCGATGACCTTTTGTGTCTTGCCCTCCTTGTGCAAGGTGTCGATGGTCGTCTTTTGGACAACTGTCAAGTCAGCAGTCTTCCCCATGATTGTGTAGCCTATAGAACTAGACTGAAAGACCATTTAAAGGCTTTTGCAGGTGGTTTGAGTTAATTAGCTGATTAGAGTGTGGCACCAGGGGCCATCAATTTTGAACCTTTTCACAATATTCTAATTTTCTGATATGATGAATTTGAGATTTTCATTTGTTGTCATTTGTAATCATCAAAATTAAACAAAATAAACATCTGAAATATATGAGTTTGTATGTAATGTATGAATATAATATACAAGTTTCACTTTTTAAATGGAATTACTGAAATCAATCTACTTTTTCATGATATTCTAATTTTATGACCAGCACCTGTAGTGAAGGATTTTGATGAATTTTTGAAAAGACCCGCCCTATCCACTTAAAAAAAAAAAAAAAAGCACATGCACAACCCTGTACCTGCTCCCGAGAGCGAACGCCGGTTAAACGCGTGCGAGAGCACGTTGCCTCGTGCACGCTCTGCTTGAAAGTTGCTGTTTGCCTCGCTCATACAAGCTTATTTTCCATAGTAGCATGTATGAAGGCCATCGCAAAATGATTGAGAATTACGAGAACCACTTATTTTGATGATCCACCCGGAAAAAGGACATCCTCCACTATACCTTTAATCTTATCGTCATAAACCAGCAGGTGGCAGCAGAAAACCAATTAGACTATTTAAATTTTCAGTAAAAAGATTCAGAATGAGATTAAACAAAATAATGGGATAATGGAAATGCTAAAACTAGTGTTTAACCGATACCAGTATCAGGCAGGCCCGGATCCAGCACTAAAATGGTGGTATCGGTATCGGCGAGTACCAGCAAATAGGGCACTGATACCATTTTGAGAGCCAAAAGTTTATTCAACTATTGTCACCCATTCTAGGTAGGCAATAAAAGGTTCTACTGGATTCACTTTGTATTCATCTTTTTCCTGCTTCACAAAGGTAGGCAGCAGCTTGATAAAGCCATGATGGCAATTATTTTACATCTAAGTAGTATGCAGTTCTTCATATATACAGACATCACTTTCAAACAGATGGTATTGGTATCGGCCAATACTGCACAGCCAGGTATCGGGCATCAGAGCCAAAAAATGGCATTGGCGCAACACTAGCTAAAACCTACTGATCTCCATTTATTCACTCGATTGCTGATTGCCCAAAAGAAAGTGAATCCACTGTCCGCCATGTTGATACTCCCTACTCCCACAGAGCAGTAAAAATGCCAACATGTGCAGCATTTGACTGCAAAAACAAGCAGTTTGCCTGCTGTGGGAAGACGTTCCACAGGTAATTTCACAGTCACTTGATGTGCTAACCAAGAAAAAAAAAATTCAATCTATCTATCTACCGGTATCTATCTATCTACCGGTATCTATCTATCTACCGGTATCTATCTATCTACCGGTATCTATCTATCTACCGGTATCTATCTATCTACCGGTATCTATCTATCTATCTATCTATCTATCTATCTATCTATCTATCTATCTATCTATCTATCTATCTATCTATCTATCTATCTATCTATCTATCTATCTATCTATCTATCTATCTATCTATCTATCTATCTATCTATCTATCTATCTATCTATCTATCTATCTATCTATCTATCTATCTATCTATCTATCTATCTATCTATGTGTACACCATGCATTACCACCATGTAATATGTAATTAGAGATGATGTAAGAAGTAGATGATGTAATAAATACATGTCTATGTAAATGTACATCATCAATTTAGCACTTTTGGCCCCAATGTATTATTATGCTACATTAACACATTCATTTTTTATTTTTTTATTATAAGTTAAGGTAACTTACTTATGCTATGAAACCGCCAGCTGGTGTCAAAGTGATGAACTTTATTTTAAGTCTTAAGTCCCCCTGAAAATGAGAACATCATCTTTGTTAGATGCTGTGGCGCACATATTGTCAACATTGCGACTGGTCTAACTAGGGAGTACCAATATGGCAGCCAGTGGCTTAACTTCAACCCTGTATAACTAACGGGCAATCAGCAATCCATTTAATAAATAAATATAGATCAGTGCTAAAACCTTGGACGATTTATGCTTTTAGTCCTCATCTGTTCTGATTTAATTATATTTCTGGACCAAATTGAGCTTTTATAATTTGTTTTTCTTTAAACTTTGATTCCTTTTTTACTTATTTCAGAAAAAACTAAACAATGATTTTCTGTTCTCACATATCCAAGTCCTCACAGCCTTCAGTTTTCCATACACCTTAAATCATCTCCATAAACAAACTAACCACAGTAATCTGTTTTCTCTCCAGTTTTTTCTGCAGTGGACAGTCTTTGCGTGGAGCTGCTGTCCCACGGTACCCGGGGCTTCGACCCGTCTCCCGCCATAACCAGAGCCGTCACCAACGTGGTCTGCACCCTGGTGTTCAGCAGCACCTACAGCAGCGGGGACAGCGAGCTGCAGGAGGTGATCCGCTACAACAACGGCATCGTGGAGACCATCGCCAGAGGAGGACTGGTGGACATCTACCCCTGGATGAAGGTTCGCTGAACTTTAGAGTCCATCATTGGAACCAATCTAAAAGCTTGCTGCAGCCACAGAGCTGATATCCAGGGTCCGTAGACCTTGATGCACCAGTCCTGGTTTTATTCCTAATCTTTAGATCTCTTTTATGTCTTTCCTGTCTGAGAGGAGGACCCTTACCTCTGACTCATAGAAGCCCATCAGGAATATCTTTATATGTACAAGACTAGGGGTGTGCAAAATGATCGTCATGACGATGCATCGCGATTCTAATTTTTGTGATCTGCTGCATCGATTCTTGATGCCAAGTATCGATTCTTAATGAACAAAAAGGAATAAATAAAATACATGAATGGTTGGCACACATCAGCCAAAAATTTAAGTAATACAACTATCAGTCCAGTAGATGTCGCTGCGGATACTGCGACTAGTCATTTATAAACAAAACATGGAGACTGAGAAAATTCGCCCGGCTCCATCACATTCCAAGTCAGAAGTTTGGATGCATTTTGGCTTTAAAAGCAAAGAATGTAAAAAGGAACTTGATTTGACGCAAGTAATTTGCAAAAGGGAAAATTTCATTGGTTTAAAGGACCACTGAGGCCATGTAAACAGCACTGTTATTTTAAGTTTTATAAATCCTAAGCACTTTTTTTCACTGTGTCCACGCCAGTAATAGTAATATTTGTGTCCAGTATTTGTTTTCATGGCAATCCTTCGACAGCTGTTTCAATAAATAAATAAAGCTATGTATGAATTCAGTTGCTTTCATTATGTATCAATTGAAGACACTATCCAGATCACACACAGCCAGTCAGCCACTGGAAAGGGCTGTATCTTTTTCTTACAGTGTTCAATGAAAATATCGCAATGCATCCGGATGCATCGCAATATTTCGCGTATCGTGATGCATCGTGATAAAATTGCATCGTGGCATGTGAATCGTGATTGGAATCGAATCGTGACTTCTTTGGCAATACCCATCCCTATACAAGACTCTAAAAAATCTAAAACATTGATTAATCTGACCTGATCACAATATTCCTTAAACATGATTTTCATTAGGCACACAATTGTAGGATAAGACAAAAACCCAGTAATAATTCATTGTTTTATTAAGTCAGTATAACCAAAGAGCCACTTATGTGTCTGGAAAGCTCAGGTATAGCAGATAAAATTAACAGATGTGTAGATTAATCGGCCCAGATTTCCTTAATGTGGTGAGATTTGTGATCAAACGATGCATGGATGTGAAGCCGATCTAATCCACCTCTGCAAACTTCAGGTTAGCCTTGGTCAGCGCTCTAAATGTTCTGAAAGTGTTAGCTTGTGTAGTTTAAGCACGTTTTTTTTTTATTGTTTCACAGGTATTGTTCTTTTTTCTTAAATAAAATCAGATTGAAACATTCATTTTGTATCATGAAGAACCTTTGGTCAAAATCAGGCATGTCAGGATTTTTAAAGATCAGTTATTGGCCATAAAGCTTTAATTGGGGCGCCTTTAAAAGTGTGATCCTCTCAATATCACTAAAGCTAAAAGAACAACTTTGTTATAAAGCCGTGAAGGAAAAAAGAGAGAATAATTAATGGTTTCCATGCCTGCTCATATAATCAGTATTATGTCTTCAGTAGAGGGGCCGTTACCACTAATATCTGTTACTCTGATAAAGGCCCGAAAACATTATTCCATATAATGTGTTTCACTTAATGAATTGAAATTTTAAAATGCATTTTCTATATTATTATTACACCTAAAATTTTAACTTTAATTTTTCACTATTACAAATATTCAGCCATATAAAGTGGAAGTAAAGGGTTTCATCGCTGAACTAAGAAAATATATATCCCCTTAAATCCTTTTTAACTTCCACCAGCTGAATGTTATACCACATCTGCACCCTAAATGCAGCAGGGAGCGTTATCACAGATCCTTCCTCCCAGCCGAAAGGCTCTAGAACCACCGTTCCCAATAACCTCAAAAAGTTGTTACATTCTTGCTGATTTTGCAGTTTCTTAGTCAGTTAAATAACATGCTGCTGTCATTTTGCACATCTCTTATGTTGCTATTTTCAAATATCCATTACTGCAAAAATGTCTATAGCTTCATATTGGTTAATTTATTCTCCAGGTGCATGGTATTTATATTGTTAAAACACTTTACAGTACAGTATTTTGCAATATTATGTTATTCTTATACATTATTCTAAGGTGTGACCATTTTTCTATAATATTTTTGCTGCTGGAAACACCAGAATTCCCCCACTGTGGAATGGATTTTCTATTGTATCTTAAGGACATTTTATGTGAACATTTCTTATCTGCTCATTGAAAAGCATCAATAATCTGGTGTTTCACAGCCTCTGTCTTTCATTCAGGTCTTTCCTAACAGGTCCCTCAGTAAACTGAAGGAGTGCATCGCTGTCAGAGACCGCCTGCTGAGCCGGAAACTGGAGGAGCACAAGGTAACACCCACAAACTATTCAAACAGAAGTTCAGCCATGAACAGTGAAGGAACACCAGCAGAGAGCAACAGCTCCCCCTGCAGGCTGCAGTGATCACTACAGCTCTGATAGGCCAGAGGGGCAGACTTGATCAGCCAGGCTTTGTGGAGTATGGGATTTTATTTCATCTCCATCCTCTGTCTGGTGTTTTACAGGCGGCTCTGAGCGATGGAGATCCTCGTGACCTCCTGGAGGCCCTGCTGAAGGGTCAGACAGGAAGTGGGCGGGGTCAGAAGACACAGGGGTCAAAGGAGGAGGGGATAACAGATGACCATGTCCTGATGACAGCGGCAGAGGCTTTTGGAGCAGGTGTGGAGACGACTTCCACCACTCTGCTGTGGATATTGGCCTACCTGCTGCATCATCCTGAGGTCAGAGAGTGGCGATGAAACGCCGTCTAGTTCCAGCCAGAGACGGGGGAACCAGAGTCTCTGGTACCAACATCCCTGAGTTTCTATTGCAGGTCCAGGAGCGAGTGCAGAAGGAGCTGGACGAGAACATCGGCTGTGAGAGAGCAGTAAGCGTGTCGGACCGCGGGCGGCTGCCGTATCTGGACTGCGTCATCAACGAAGGCATGAGGATCCGCCCGGTCAGCCCGGTTCTGATTCCCCACACCGCCATGACCGACAGCAGGTAGGTCTGTTAGCTCAAAGCGTTGTCAAATAAGGGTTCACGAACTTATTTTCTCCCGCAGCATTGGAGGGCACGCTGTGCGCCGTGGGACTCGTGTTCTGGTCAACATGTGGTCGATCCATCACGACCCCCGGCACTGGGACAAACCCGACCTGTTCAACCCAGGTGACTCATTGGGAAACACTCTTTACAAACAAACCCCACAGAAAACTTCTTCTAAACCTTCCTCCCCTTCAAATGCAGATCGTTTCCTCAACGACCAAGGCCGACGAGCCACGCCCTCGTGTTTCCTGCCATTCGGGGCGGGACCTCGGGTTTGTGTCGGCGAATCGTTGGCCAGGCTGGAGCTTTTCCTCTTCCTGTCGTCTCTGCTCCAGCGAATGAGCTTCAAGCTGCCAGACGGGGATTCCCCGCCAAACCTGCAGGGGCGTCTCGGTGTGGTCCTGCAGCCGCTGCCTTATAAGGCTGTAGTCATTCCACGCCCAGGATGGGAGGGCGGGGTTAAATAAAAAGGGGAGTGGCTTAAAGTCAACGGAAAAATGTTGCTAGCTCATAGCTTGACCAAATTTTAACTTCAGAATGCTAATGTAGTTGGATAACTCTTATTTTTAACTTTTAATCAGACATTTTAATAAAAATGAACATTTGTAGCTTAGTTTAATATTGTTAGCAATTCAAAACCAGTCCGCTAACTTTTAGCTAGTTTGTTTCACAACTTTCATCATGGTTCTCAGCCAATCTGAAAAACAGAAAACGCTTCTATATATGAATGTTTGAAAAATGATTATCATTTAAGATAAGCTTTATTTGTCTCAGAATGGAGACAAATTACTCATTTCACCAGCTGTTGGAAACACAAATTGGGTTTAGATAGATAAGAAATGGACAATTCAAAAGCTTAATGAGAAGAGGAAGTTATATAAATGTAAATAAATATGAATTTGAAAAGAGCAATATTATCCCTTGACTTGCCAGTAAAATAGAAAATCAATGTATTATAGATATTTCTGACTGAGAACTCATCAGTTTTATGTTTTAAGTCACAAATTGTGAGACCTAAAGGCCATGAGGAGTTATAATCATTTATCAAAAGCAATATATGTCGAATAAATTCCAAGTAAACTGTTATTTATTTCCTCTATTGAGAGAAGAGGCTGAAAGCTGTTCAGGGCCATCCTCCGGTCTCAATCTAATAAAAATAAAGATTATTCTACTATCTTTACTGAGTGACTTTATTCCTCTAATGTTTTATTACCATCAATGTAATCAAAGTGGTTCAACATTTAACAGACAGACAAAAGTTTAGATTCAACAGTTTTATTCATTATATTTCCACACTTTTAGAACAGGCTGGTTTAGTTATGTCACACATTCATACATACATACATCCACACCATATATTACTTTTAACAGTACTAACTTGTGTTTGTGTTCATTTGAATATTGCAGGATTTTAATGTTTTATTTTAAAACTTCACTTCTTACCCCGACACTGAGGACAGGAACCCCGTGAAGGAAAGAGAGAAGATTTAACAAGACGGTTAAAATCCTGTAAACAAAGGGAAGGACTTGGACAGTGGGATGAACTGAGTAAATGAATCACAGGTGGAGTTAAGATGTGTAAGAACCTAAAGGGATTAGATCCAAATGCAGGTCTGACTGGCTTCACATTCCAATGTTCTAGAAAGATTTTGCAATAACTTTTTAGAATTCAAACCTAAGTCGTCACACAATCCAATTTATATGTTCTTTTTTAGGTTTCTAATTCAAATGGGGCAATAAAAAAACGTAAATGCGACTTATGATCCAGGTGTAGTAGCATAAAGAACCTATAGGCATTAGTCTACCCCCATATAGGGGAGATATTCTAAATATCTTTTGACTTTTATGTAAAAAACAACAAATGAGAACCTTTAGAATGAGAATCCAGTCAATGTTACAATCTCCCTGAAGAGAGGGCTGTAAATGAATAAGATATGTAATTCAGACCTAAACAAAAAGGTTGTTCTTGAAGGTAGGATCACCTGGAATCAGCTTAATGTGTGTCTGATAATCTTTAATCGAACTTCAAAAATGCCTCCATGCTTTCAATCAAAACTAAGGCAACACCAGAGGCTCACTATACCCCCAAAAGACATTATAAACCCATGCTCGGTTGCTGTTGCAGGAGTCGAAATAGATTAAACTTTTGAGATTTTTCCATAGCTTAATGCCAGTTGTTTCCATCATTTTGAGAAAATATCAGAATCACTTTAAGCTGATCTCAGGTCTGCACAACTTTGAGAACCTAAATTACAGACAAACTGCAGACGTTTTTCCCCAAGTCATTCTGCTATAAAGCTCACAGTCACACAGAGCAAGAACAGCTCTAAATAATGCTAAGTAGTAACAGTAGTCAAGTAGAAATGGCACTCGGAAACCAATGAAATATATAACGGTATAAGTTCAGGTAAACAAAAAAAAAAAACACCATCAACCACAACATCAACTACAACATCAACGGCTGGGCGTCACCCTAGAACGTTTAGCCTCTAAGATCTCGATGTTCACGCTCCACAGGTGCTGAATTTCAACCTAATGCCTCAGTATGATCAGTCCTTGAGCTCGTAGAAGTCCCAAAACCACCTTTATCAAAGCGAGCATTGAATCCAGTCCTTAATGGCCGCATGTTTCAGGCCGTCTCTGCGGCAGGACTTTGCCTTAATGAATCCAGAGGTTTTATCGCTCTTGCATCATGTACCGGTGGCTCTGTTGAGTTATACATGAAGGTGTTGATCAATGCAGCATGAACACAGGGTATAAAGATCCGTCAACCAGACTCAAGAGTCTCTCTCCATTCAGTAAGGTTGAGGATTTCATGAGCTTACGAGAACCATCCCCTTTCCTTCCAATGCCAGCTCATGTCTCTACTTGTGAAAGAAGAAGTTTGAACATTTCATCTACTGGAAATGCTTAGTCAATTGGCTGAAATCACTGTGCTCTTTTTGCCTGCCAAGGTATGTTTCTACATCATGGGACATTTGTGAAACTTGGTAGCAAGCGTATGGCGATAGCCACCCTTTATACCAGACTTGCAAAAGATCTTAGCTTTTGTTTGTATAGTTGGTGAAGTCAACGGACTTGCACCTAAAGGTAAACTTCTGTTCCTTCAGGAACTGCTAGAAATAAGCACCAGCCCCGCACACCCTTGTAAAACTTAAGGGTATTACAGATTGATGTGTCATCTCTTTAGTAGAATGAGTTGTATCAACAAACTTCGTGACCATGTGGTGGACTGGGAGTCTGCCCACGGTGTGTCCTGTCAACTGACCGCGGGAGATAAGAGTACCCTTCCCTAAACGGCAACAAGCATAATGGAAAATAAGTTTCTTGGTTGGAAGGATTTCTGAAGGATGAAGGAGTAGGGCTCATCGTAATGCTGTAGCACAACACAACTGCATTGGCTAGAATGGCTTCTATTGTTGACAAAGAGAAAAAACACACAAACGACAGAGTCTGTGCGAGGGGTAAGCCTCATCTCTAAGTTTTCCACCAAAAGACTCCCCCAGATGATTCTAGAGCCATTTCCAATTCTTATGGGTCTATTTATTCTGTTAAACGGAAGATAACTCCCTTAATGAATTCGTTTTACTGATTTTTAAGGTGAGCTGAAAACAAGGCAGCACATACAAAACAACTACTACCAAGTCTGCTTCACTGCAAAAATATACTCCATCTCTGTGTCACAAAATATGCTCACTGACTTATCTATGAAGCTCACAATGTACGAAACGTCGACCTAAAAATAAATCTAACTCTGAAAAGGATTGCCGTAACTATATCCTTTCAAGGCCTTGAAATGTCTTTGCTTTGTCTGCAATTTGTATTTTTCTTCAAATTCCCTAGAAGTTAAGGACGTAGGAGAGATGTTTGACAATGAAGAGATCCACAAAGTGACGGAGATCGTGGCGTCGACAGCTTATTGTTTGATCTGACCTCACGCTCCGAGAAAGAAACAAAGGCAGGATGATGACACACTCTGTCTCTGCTCTCTTTGGGGCTTTGTTTTGGTCTATAAGCATCCATTGTTTGTTTACATTCATCTAAGAGCTTTTCTCTGCTGAGATGTCGACGCGATACAAGCCAATCTGAGCTGTCCGCCTTGAATTTTCCCCCACTTGGAATAAAAACTGCAAACCAGCCGCCTAATTCCGCTCTCCTGACGGACCCAGCCATCAAACGTCCTCCTCAATCAATGAATCAGTCTTCCCTCTGTCAATCAAGCGCAGTGAATCATCCTCCCACACCGGTCTCTTTTCCTTTCTCAGAGCAAGCCAACTTGTCCCCGGCACACTTCCAAACCGCAGTCATCATCCAAGACGGCATGGAAGATATCTCCGCCTAAATGCTCGACTATTTAAAGACGTTCATTTATGAGCAAAAGACAGAAAGCGTCATTGCCTTGAGGGGCACGATTTCAATCAAGATGTTTGCAGTTCTTGTACCATATTTGCGTCACAAGAGATTTTTGAAGTTTCTATGTGCAAATTTATATAGTTTGGCTCAATATTGGAGATGAATATCAGTATGTTAAGAGAATTTAATAAATTCTGTTGATTAGAGTCAATGAAAATTGGGTTAAAGTGAGTTTTATTAGGTGCAGATGTAGAGATCTGTCTGTGCAGAGATGTCTTAGGGTAAGGAAGTTTGTTCGTTTCACAATAGCTACTGCGTTTTAGTTTTATAGTCCTGAAATTAAACAGACGCTTCTCAACCTACTGAAACGTGACACCGCAGCCCATAAAACCGCCAGCTTTTCATACCAAATCTTCTACCCAACGCTGGTCCTTTCCTCTCAACATTGACAACCATGGCTGTTTAGAACCATCTCCGATCGTTTGATGGCTGACTCTCCAGGTCAGAATGAGAAACTGTTTAAACCTGCTGCTTTCTGTTGATTACACTTTCTCCATGACGATGATGACTTTGCTGTTTTCTTCAGGGGTCGAAGAGGTGACAGAGGTGGAGGGGTTGCAGGGTGTGAGTTCGTCCTCTGTGCTCATCTGACTTCTCGCTGGGCAATCCACACTATCATGCATGTCGATGTTCTTGTCTTTTTCTTCTTCCTCGTCTTCTTCTTCGTCTTCCTCCTCCTCCTCCACTCGACATCTGCACACTTCAATACCGGAGTCGCCGGTAAGGCGGCGGTGCCTGTACTGGCTCTCGTCAGCTCCCATGTCATCCTCTTCGTCCTCCTCTTTGTCCCCGTCGCCCTGCTCCTCTTCTCCGTCTTCCCAGCATGCTGGTCCAGGTTCAAAGACGTCCACACACGGGGAGAAGACGGTCTGTTTTGGCGGAGACTGAGTAGCGCGGGGTGACGGGGAGAGGGAGGAGGCATGGCCAGAGGAGGAACCACCTTTGTCGGGCTGGTGCAGAGCAGTTAGGGGATCAAGTAGTAATGCTGGTGCTGGGTGACAAGGAGGGGATCTGGGTGAGGATGGGGAGACGACTGCATGGGGTGAGTGAGAAGGAGTGAAAGAAGTTTCAGACTCAATAGTAATTGCTGGGCAAGAGGAGGAACAGTTTACAGGAGCTT